CAAGAGGATGCCGTCTCATGTCTTCATCAGTGGATGACACTTCACACCTCGGTTTTGCCTGCATCCTCAAGTTACCACGCCTTCGATAGTGTGGAAAGCAAGGTATTCAAACCCAAAGTAAGTCAGAACTAGGTTTGAAACGTTTTCAAAATTCCTTAGACAGCTTGTAATTCGGTGCCCCGAGTAGGTCAATGGGATCGCCAATCTATGGACTGGTAGCAGAGGCAGTGATGCCATCCTTGGAACGAAAGGCATTGCCAATAGTGAAGCCAAAACTTTTTTTCCGGCATCCATTTCACCAAAGAGGAAGAAAACAATGGCCAGCTGCCATTCTTGGACGTGATCGTGAGAAGACATCCTTCTGGGTCACTGGAAACAATAGTTTATCGGCAAACGACGCACACCGAACAGATCTTAAACCATCACAATAATCATCCGACCATATAGAAGCGAAGTTGCTTGAGGCCCAGACATACTGTAGCACGCCGCAACTGAGAAAGGCGGAGGGGGACCACGTATTTCACATGTTTCGGCTATATTCGTGCCCTAGAAGTTTTATTCTACGCTGTCTGATGTCGTAGAGCCAGTCACAACCCAAGTCCACATGTGCAACAGAAAGAAAAACGATTATCCTACTTTACATCCATGGGATTCCTGAAATGACAACGGGGCATCTAATGCCACAGCAACGTACATAACTAATCCAGTCATATATGACTATGTTAACAGCTTGCGAAAATGCGTTCACTTTTAGCGTGCGCAATCTTCGTGTCCGCTTTTATGTCTGCCCTTTTTGCTGTCCGCAATTTTCGTATGCGCTTTCTTCTGGTCACTGCATTTCGGCATCCTCAGGTGCTTAGAGACCACAAACGAAAATAGCGTCCTAATCTGATACACCAGCATTTCTTTCAGCTAGAAAGGCTCGCAATGACGGCTGATAGTGCTCGCGCAAGTTACGAAATCAACTGATGCACACAGTAACTATCTTCATGCAGCTGTATCGGACGCTGAATAAGGAAGACTGCTCACCAAAATTTCATCTAACACAGGTATAAGTTATTCAAAGGTAAAATCTTTGGGGCATTTTCGGGTTATTCGATCAAAAAATCTCCCTCCCCAGTTGTTACGGTCGCCAAGGTCGCGCCGGGCCACTCTGGTTGGCTTTTCGATAGCTGTCCGATGGGCCGATCACGAAGTAAGTCACAGGAACGGCCGCCCGACACGAGACAATTACATGGTACAAACTACCAAATTTTGTATTCTTGCTGACCTTCTTGAACTTCTGTTTTTCACTTACCATCCCTTTGATCAACCAATGCGATTATTCCACTTAATTTTTGGAAAAAAGGTTGTAATTTGGTCCAGATAAGATTCACTGATCCGTTCCTTAAGACGTGTCCCTCCTAACATGATCCACCTGCGTCGTCAGCCGGAAAGCGTTTACATGCTGGAAGACCACACCTTGCAGAAGGGCTCAGAAGCATGACCTTGGGATATTGTTACAGAACGATCTCGATGGCTCAAAACAAACAAAGGCGTTAGGAACCGGCAGACAGTCCCAAGGGGGGCATTGATTTACAGAATGAAAGGCGCCTTTGATGTCGAGCAACACGACTACAGTGGGTCGCCAACGGATATGGCGGTGTCCCAACAACTGACACCAAGTGAAGATGTCAATGAAGTCTCAATTTCGACGAAACCCGGATTGCTCCTCGCGCATCTGGCCTTCACGAGTGGCATCTAGTCTATGCAGAACGATAGAGGCAAGTATCTTAAAGGCGGTGATGATTAGCCTGATTCCTCTATGATTGCTGCATTCCAAACGGGAGCCCCCTGAAAAATTGGAACAATAACGGAGCGGTTCCAGTCTGATGGGACAGTCTTCCGCTCCAACAGTAAGTTGTGCAAACCATCAACAACAGCTTGCCTCCGAATTTGAAGAAGATTGATGGAAGATCATCTGGTCCCGCGACTTTATTCAGTTTCAACAGTCTGATCTCACGTTCGACTTTTGTGCGTTAGAGTGAATCTAAGGGGACGGTCCAGAGAAAAGTGCGGTCAATTGCCGTTAAGGTTGATTAAACTGTTTTCGATGTTCGGCCCAACGATACAAGTGTTTTGATAAACTGTCCATTCTCGTCGCCTATGGTCTCGCTAACACCAGGTCCCATGCTGCCAGTTTCCCGTATCAGACGGAATAACCAAGCACACGATGATGAGGGCACGGGATTCGCGGTCCCTCTTCAGGAATCTCGTTGTGTCCTCATCCATCCGGGGAGCATCGAGGACTTTCTGAGACTGCGTTGAGACCCAATGTCCAGATTGGCAATTTGACTTGGCATATGAAGTCACGCCTGTTGCTAACAGGGTTTGGCAAACATACGACCAGTGATTTTCAGCTGTACTGAGTGTGCGTTTGCTCAGCCCGGATGCCATCGTACTTTGATGCGCATTCAGAACGCCTGGCTTCGCCAGTTGACAAGTATCTATGCACTCACAGAGCCGTTGCGGACGTCCACCGAAACGAACAAGCAGGTGGGTGCATAACAAATGCGACTCCATGCTTGTGCTTCAAATCGAGCGGCGGTTTTAGACGGAGCCTCTTCAGCACCATATCATCCTGTGGCAGGTGCTGTGTCGGAAGCCAGTGCTCGCGAGAAATAGACGTGCATTTTCACACAAATGAAGTAATTGCTCATTGTTATCATTGCGGAAGCATACACAGCGGCCACTCAGATGCTACTCATCAGTGAATAGTTTTCCGACTTGGGCATACAGATCACTAGTAGGCATCGCAGTATCCGTACTTTTTCATTTTCGAATAAGCTCGTTCAGTTTACCGAGTTTGTGCTACAATTTAGGGGAGCGCAAGCAGCAATTACAACAGGCGCCGTGTGTCCCGCGCGACTTCGAACGAACTAACCAATGCAACGGCGCAAATCCGGCTGCTGATTGGGATCCAATCGATCAGGGCAGATTCGGCCCGAGGGTTCAAAGAAATGCTTAGACCGACTCGGCCAACGTTTGAAGCTGCGTCATCTCCGGACAAACGCAATAAAAAAGTGCCACCAGGATCCCAGGGTAAATACAGAGCTCAAATCTTGCAGACAAGTCTCCGATAAACAGCACAAATCAACCTATAGGGCAATTGCTGCCTGTTGGCCAATCTGCAACAAAGTACACACGTTGAGGCGTCAGTTTTAGTATCGAAGACTCCAGATAGAAACGGATGAACTAACGTTATTCGCTTGGTTGATTATGGGCATGTTGACTGGGTTGGAGCGAAGCTCTGCGATTGCGCGTGGGTCCAATATAGAAGACAAACGACTATTGAAGGAAGATGGAGGAGGGACGAGAATTGGGGTTGAAAACTGGTGAGTACAAGCGGAGTTGGAAGGGGACGATAAGGATGGAAAAGCGCAAGAAGGAAAAATAAGAAGAGAGAAAGATGTGGTCGGTAGCATCCTCACCCCTACCCGGTACAGCAGATAAAGCGCCGTTGAGTATTCTGTGATGGCCAGGAGCATCAATAAATTGTATTGCGTGGGCAAATTACTGCTAGGCTGCCCAGGCCTTGACAGGAGAATGATTAGGGTTCTCAACCAGAGCCTTTTAATCAAAAATCCGACTACGAGGCAATCGGGTCTTGGCACTTAGTTTCAGAGAATCCGTTTTATGGAGTAAGGAACCACCTTCACTGCAACCAGGAGACTGAGTTTGTCTAGTCTCTAACCACTGATCAATCTGGTATGACTGACCCTGAAGGTGCACCATCTAGCATATTTCAATGGATCGTTAAGGACTGCAAATCCTTGCTAGATCACAGCTAGTTACTTGGTCACAGCGGCTGCTGCTCATCCCCCTCGCGAACCGATGGTCTTAACCACTGACTTGAAAGTGAGTAGTTGCGAGTTCTAGCTCCCCAGTGAGTAGGCGTTTTACTGACGAGCTCCGAAAGGACGAAGCGAGGGTCTAGTGCTTTTCCAGATTGCACTGGTCGTCTGACTGTGAGTGACGAATCTTCGAACCGACTGCTACATTGCTCAGTCGGGCAACACTGAACATTGTCGGCAAACAAGCGGATCCGTTTGCATGAAGGATTATCGGTGCGTACAAGATGTATCACATTACTCTTAATTATTGGCGGTTTCCGGTCTTTTGCCTAGTTTTTCCCTCAGAACCAGTCCGTTGACTATCATCCTCATCATCACTTGCAGTTGTCCGCTAATGATAATCACTCGATCGCAGACAGAATCAGATAATGAATTCGGACAAAGTGCGTGTTTAAATCTCATCACACCACGAGATGTTGTCGTCCACGGAGGCTGCTTTCTGGTGTGAGTGTGGTCTCTTGATATGCGCCACATTCGGTTCATTGGAATAATCAGTTTGACTCCCCAGTGTGTGTGGAGACCACTACGCTCCCGCTCAGATCCACCAACGTACTCGTATGTTCATGGTACCCCATCACATAGCTACATAAATGTTACGTTCTAAATCGCGAGAAACCGAACCACGGCCGAATCTGATCACTCGGTGTGAGTATTTTATGCTAATACACGAATCGATATACACATTACTGCGATCGTTTGCCAGAGGCACTTCATACCGGCATTAACAGCCAGTAGTTTGGCGTTAGTTGTGGGTGTCGGTGTTTTAGCTGGTTAGTTAAATGAATGAGTACATTCTGTTGCGAAGCACCATGTAGTTAGGCAACTAAAGTTCACTTAGGATTATTTCCGTTTAAATGACGGTTGCCACAGCCGCCGCCGCCGCCGCATTACTTACTGTTCCCAAGTTATTTTCACAACCCGTTTGGTCCAGTCTGCAGTAATACGCAAATATTCGGACGCCTAGTAAGGTAGTGAACTGCATCGGGTCGTGGCTTTGCTGGAATATGGGATGAATCACGAGCGCATTGTTTAGAAAACTCGTTTAAGATTCACTCAATTACCAGCCGGGGCATCAATAATATTTCGGAATAATAAAACGACACAAATAGGGCTGACGTTATGTATGTACCACACACACACACACACGCACACATCCACGAGAACACCGAGTACCGATAGTGGGACAAACAATGAGTAAATCACCAGACCATGACGATTCCGGGTTGGAAGTGGAGTCATTCCACAGCGTCTGTATCATACAAATGATTGCAACTGAAAATTCCTGTTGCTGGTTTTCATTAAATATCACGATGTGGCAACGGTTGTGAAAGCAACTATGAGATGACTTCGGTCATCGTCTGTCCAACACTGGTTGGAGTTGGAGCGGAGTAGTGACGCGTCCAGTGAGAGGGAATGATGACCAACAAGGTAAGGAACATATAAATGTTCAGAAAGAAGTAATACTGTCTGAAAATAGATAGCAGTGATAGTTGATCATTGGATGTTGACAAAAACAAGTAAAAACCGGCTAACCCTCATTGGAAGGGGACAACGCAGACGGATAAGAAGCACGGCTAATCAGAGCCACGAAATCGGCTGCAGCGCAGGAAGTTGACTGGCCTCCGACTTCTTTCAAGTATTTCTATATTCGTTGATCTGGTTGGTTGGCAGAGCAATAGGAGCAATCGTAGGAAAAGAAACGCCATTGGTGTATCCATTAAGAATGCTGCTGGCTAGAGAATGGGGCGCGAGATCTATCAATATATCTTCGGACACATGGACCAGTCGGATTTGGCTTTTTGATCCCAGTATTTGCCGTTGAAATGATAGGACACCTCACCAGTGACGTTATCAGCTCTTCTCTCAAACCAAAGCGGTTTATGTTCGTCATCAACCTGGTCGACTGTGGGAATGATAAAGATAACAACGAAACAAATGGGGTTGCAGGACTTTGGAGTGATAAGCTGGCTCCAATATGTAGTGAACGTTTTGAACGCTCGGTTAAATGTACCACGACCTGATGATTAACAAAGACTAGAAACGTCAAAGGGTTCGGAGAAACGCTGCTAAGGGCGGAAACCTCATTCACTGATCTCAATCATTTATTCTATACATTAGCTAGGGGCGAGAAAAATCCCAGTTATTGTGTAACCAGCCATCACAACAGTGGTCGTACGTATCAGCGGCTATGCACGAGCAAAGAGAGTGCATCGTTTAAATGCGTTTACAGGCACTCATCGTACCAGTTAGTAATACAAAATAAGGTATTATGGCGTCACCACAAAGATGCTCCGAAGATAATTTTCTAAGGAGAACCACGATCAAAGAAGAGAATCGAAGTTAACTGTGTATCACATGATACTGGGGCCACAGCGTAAAACACTTAACCGCAGAAAAAGCATATACTCATCAACAACCAATGTCTCGATGCTATAGAGCGATAAACTAGGAATCAAGATCATATTAACAAGGAGTACGAAAAAAGTGGAACACCAACTAATCAGTGGATACTCAGAATCGAAGATCTTGCACATTGAAAATAGTGCACAGTAATAACAGCTTTCCTTCGGCTGGAGCAATACAAGAAACACATCATTAGTGCCCGCCACATGCAGCTCATGTGGGATCTGGAGCCAAGTACAGAGTGGGATTCGTGGGCTCAAGAATGGGAAGTGATACGCAGCAAAGAGCCGACTTCAGTGACATTTGTGTCGTTAGTTGCTTTGCTCCTCCTCCTCCTCCTCCAGATTGAATCTCATTGCTGACGCATAAAAAGGCGTAATATTACTTGTTTTTCCTCTTCTTTAGTGCGGCACAATGGCTGAGGTGTTTCTCCTCCCTAGTAAACGGCAAAGATGTCGCGGATTCATAAAAGCAATCCTAACTTTCAAGTAGCCTGTCACTGCTAGCATGATTGCCAAGATGGGCGACCGGATCTTTAACTACTTGCAATGAAACATAGTTCGTCCGGATTCGACTATAACCGCTCTCCATTGATTAATGGTAATACGGTGCGGCCTGCAGACTTTATTTCAGCACAGTAGCCTCGAGTAAGACACCAGTACATGCATGGTGGGCTGCCATAATAAAGGAGAGCTCCATGATATAATCGTTGATAACGGTAGACAGAAACGGGGTAATGAAACAATGGCGAATGTTAGTTGCTGACGGAAGTGATGAGAGAAGTATAAGACATTCAATTGTTCATTTGTTCTCCGAGCTTGGCAGTTTTGTCAAGCCGCCAAGCTCGGAGAACAAATGAACAATTGAATCATCAACCCGAGTTACCAGTATGTCGAAACACTTTAAGACATGCACGATGTTTACACATTTCATTGGAACACACGTCCACAAAGCGGAATGGCCAACTGAGTCGAGGTCGATGAACAAGGCTAAGGCTGACTTACGGTGCACGTGTTCTGGCCTCATAGTAGAGTGCAAATGTATCATAAGTGGCACATTCTGTGTTGAAAATTTAACTTCCCTTACAAGTGATTCCCGTTTGGACCAGGATGGAAGTCAGTGGCATCACCACCATCACCGGTGTCAGGTTGGTACTTCTGTGGATGGCATGAAGATTGCGACAGGCCTTATAGAATAGCGCCTTCATCACCTCTCCACCTCAGTTGGCTGGGATAGTTTCGTTACTCTGCACGTGTTCGAACAGAGTGATTTGTCACAATGGACCGCACTACCACGCCTAAATGATGCGGGTACAAGAGAATACTGGCATGGTTGGGTGGTGAAACGGAACTCCGAGCCTCAGATTGAAATATGCTGATGACGTGAATCCTTGGTGTACACAATAACACCATAGATTCATCAGACAAATTGCAATGTTCCTTGGACAACCTCACATTCTGGTCTAAGTCCCGCTTTCTTTCACACAGGGCATCAAAGTGTAATGATGTACTTTCTCGCTGTCCAAAAAAAATAGTTACCAACAAATCCTCACGCACACCCCGCGTCTTAGTATTGATCGTGTCAACCCGAATTTTTGTACATCAGTGAAATACATAGGACTTACACTAAGTCAGGATCTCACATGTTCCCATCAGGTGCAGGAAACATTCAATAAAGTCAGGAGACTAGCGTTCTGTCTCCCGACTTAAGTCTTCATGCGTGCCTTGTTATTTGATCTAACGGTTTGTCACCGCTTGGGACGTATTGCTAACCTGTGATATTTCATGGACTTTAAACGGGCGTTTCAGTGATCAACAGGCCACTGAGGCATCTAGCTCGATGTAGCGGGATCTCAATGTTTGCTGACATCAGTATGTTTAATCACGTAATCTATCGTGAAACACCGGCGTCCAAAATAATCACTGACGCCAGTCACCTTCATCTTGCATTCTTCAACCAAACAAACGTACATAGCCATTTGTGCCCGCACATGTGCTTATAATAAGTCAGTTGTACCCTAATTTTCACGTTACCTGAGGGACCAAGATGTAGCCAAACAAGAGCTGATTGTCTAACTGAATTAGTGATATCATCTCCGCCACCTTTTCAAATTGCTTGCATACCATATTCACTTGCTATACTTTTTGATTTCATCTATCTTTAGCGTGTGCAGGTACATAAAGCGCATTGCTGACTTGGCTTGACTGGATCCCTAACTTGACGATGAAAATCAGAAATAGGGAGTCAACTTAAATGTTGATGTACTCAACGACCCAGAAATATTCCATATCAAGGGCGGGGCTGGAAATATTGCAGCTGATTGTCTTATTGACGAATAACCTCGTGGGACCGGTGTCGCCGATCCTGTCCGCTTAATTTTTTGAACTCTCAGTGTCAACTCTTTATTCCCTTGTAATAGTTGGAATCTGCTTCGTCGCTTTCAGTGGGACTGTTTAAAATACGGCCTACACCCAAAGCCCAAAAGCATAACTCTGGGTTTAAAAGTGAAACCATAGTCTCCAGTTCTTCACTTTGTGGAGATGCACACTGTGGAGAAAATGAAACCGCGATCCAGTGCCTTTCTGATGCTAGTGTCTGTCTGGAAGCCTTTGTGATGAACTCCGTCAGTTCGGCAAACCAACCGCGATCCGATATTCTGGAATCAACTTGGAACCGACTGAGATATCATAATTTTCAAATCTTTAGAATACAAATCGGTTTTTTATAGGCTTGGCTGCGATCCGCCTACCAAAGTGCGATAGATTCAGTTATGTTGCATTAAAATTCTGGTTAAGCTTAGTTCCAAAGAATATCTATCTCTGGGAGTTACTTTCGCCGTTGTGCATGACTCATTTTATTGTGTAGAATTCTCCAAAGAATGGCATTCCGAGTCTAACAACGGTGAGGGAGTATCGGCGCAACGTATGATATTGCTGTAACATATATGGTATAAAGTCCTATGTCCGCTTTAGATGAAAGTAAGCTCGGCTAGATGAAGGGATCCTAAACTTTCCAAGGTTTGTTGCAAGATTATAGGATAATTTCTACAAAGGAAAGTGGTATTCAACAAGTGTTGGGCGTTGGTCGCGACCGATTTCATCTACAGATGTAACTCACATAAATACTACAAGCCAGTCTACAAGACCATAGCTGAACTTGAAACCAATTTGCCAGTATCAAGCCAAGGGGTATAACGGAAGATTGGCGAAAGTATGATGCACTTGCGTTGTCATCCGGAAATCACCAGTTAGAATCCGCATAGGTGCGGGCTACCTAGTGGTGCACGTAGCCCACGCGCGACTAGTGGTGATCGTGTGGCAGCGAAGTGTCGGTACACTGTGCTGGCGTTCTGCTGCTGCTTTATTTAAGCCCAGGCACATTTACCGAGATTGTCTGTCACGTAGACCGTAATTAATGTTACATCTCGCAGTAGTCTATCGTAGTATGTCTTCGCTTTTAATTTAAAAATCCGACTGAGTGAGAGTCCGTAACAACTGTATCAGGTTTTTCGTTACTTTCATCTGAAATACGACATCGCACTTGTTTGGACTCTTCAGAGAGAGCAGTGAGATTAAATCTCTGGAGTTTGTGTCTGTCAGTAGACGCATTTACCCCTGCAGTATGAAGTTCTGTTAGCAACAGCTAGAAAGCCGTAGAAGTTAGAGCAAAAAATGTAAACTCAAGTTTATTGTAGCATCTTCAGTAAAATCAGTCAAGCTAACCGATAAAAGTGTGCCAATGTGTAGAGTCGAAAAATCGCGATTCATACATCAACAGTGCATGTTAGACAACTGTTGTTCGTTTGAAATACACATACCCAAACTCAAAACGGCTAAGCCGGCAAGAAAATTTTTTGAATGTTCGTCAGCCGGCCATCTCATTGCTTATCTTACTGAGAACATCGCACTGAGCTGAGCGAAATTCTGAGGTGGCCAACCAATAGGAGATAGGAATACACTGGCCGAAAGGCTCAGTAGGAATAATTCGGGTAATTATACTGTAGTGTAGTAGTAACATAGCTGGTCAGATGTGTTATGGACCCGATGCAAGTGGCAATTTTACCTTTTAACGACTATAACTCATTGCTATATTTTTGATGGAGCCGGTCAGCGCAACTGGATTCACTGCAATCTGCTACAGATTACAGCTGATCAAATGAGCTACGTTTCTGTAGTACCTACTGTGTGTGCGGCACAATAACGAAGTGTTTCTCACCTCCAGCTACTGCGTAAAATGAACGATGGTGACGTGTGCGGAATGCGATAAGGAATTTCACTTTTAAATGCAGTTTTACCCTGAAGTTAACTACGGTCAGTTGGGTCAATGAGTTGTTTGTCTCCATAAGCATCCCCAGTGATCCAAATGGCCGCGAGTCGTTATCCGCAAACATCCACGACAGGGTTGGTGTGCCTCAAAGCATTCGAAAACAAAATTTTATTTATTTGTTTTATCTAATAGATAATGCCTATAAGAACAAGGTTGCTTATCCGGATAAGCGTATTTAATCTCACGTTAGTGACGCGATCAAACAGTCAAAAATGCAGCGGTACATAAACAAACCCAAACAACACAGCTACACGCCTACATACATATGGTTGGCGGCATCCGGTTCCGGATATGCCTGTCACTGCCCATATCCCGTGTAAACCCGAAGGAATAAGACCGGAAGATATGTGGATGGGAGCCACGTTTCTTCAACGGAGCTGGCCCACACTCCTTCACAGGCAAACACAAGCACGCTGTATTTGGGAATCAAGCACACACAAGCCGGTGACTGGACCGTAGTCCGCTCCACACTGAGTGCATGGAACCACTCTTCGAGCGTAGCACACCCACAAGGACCGTGCACCCCGTCCCCTCCAGCAATGACCAACTGTCTCCTGGAGCCAGTATGGACGAAGTAGTGGGTAATAGACAGGTGGGCACCTTGTCAACATTCACATCAAACGCAGCCACATCAGGAATATCATGGAACAGCCAATCACTTGAAATAATATTAACAAATAAAATATATCCGTTAAAGCATACGGCTATGCCGACAATACTCCTCGCTAAATTAGCGTATAAGTTGGTTAGCAATGAATCCGCGATACGTATAAAACGTCCACAAGTTACTCAAAAATGCTACAAACGCAACAAAGTTAACGAAGATAACCACAATTAGCGTAAGCAACGTGTGGAAGTTAATAGAAGATTACTCGGGTAGGCATAACAAACCAAATAAAGTGGAATGAAATGTATCCAGATTAAAAAGACCCAGTTAAAGTGTAAGTATTCATGATGCTTCTCCACGTACATACATATGCGCACTCACACACATTTATTGTCATGGCAAACGTGTATTTTTGTACATTTCCCGATCTCTCGTTATCCTCTTACCGGGATCATACTTGTTTAGTCGTGCCTCGCGTTGTGGAAAATAAACAATTTATTTGTTTAACAAAGATTATAAACTGAGTATACCAAACGCTAGAACAAGCATTCGCTCAAACTTTTTCCTGGTCAAATATATCTAACTGTGGGATAAACTGCCAATCACATTTAGGTCATGTGACAAACTCTCGAGGTACCTTGATCTAAATACCATAACGACTATATTCACATGCGCAAAATCCTTCGGTGAGTTATTTCAAGAGAGCCCAAAACATCTGAACATGCACGTTTCCAAACCTTTGTTTCCGCGTCAATCATTCGCTAAAACGATTTTACAAGCCCCAAAATTGCACATATGCAAGAGCAAGGTTACTCTAGTACATATTGATCCGTGCCGCTAGACACAGTTTCTTAGATCATGAGAAATATATGTATTATTATGAGGCCGTATGGGACCATCAAGACGCTTCATGAATTAGCAATCTAAAAACGATTTGTTCCCATACTCACGATGAACGCAACACAACTTACGAAAGCTACTGATGTAAGCAGGACTGAGGCATTCTATGGCGGTGAAGGTGTTCGAATTGGGGTCCATGTCCTGTCGGGTATCAGTGGTTTTCTTAATGGACCTTTTCGCCAACTCGGTGGCAGCTTGACGACGACGGTCGCGTTGCTTTTCTTCGAGCATCACCTTCTCTCTGTTCGCTTCATCCCACTTACCGAGCTCCATCAGACGTTGATCCGGTCTGAAACGACAGTCAGTGGGGCATACTCCTTCCTCTTCCTCATTTAATTGAAGTGCCAAATAGGTGAAAAAATACATTCGGTCAGCATCAGGAGGCAATGTAGAACACTGCCACAATAAGCGAGAGTCACCGGTTTCCAATACCGGTTTTCCATTGCGAGTGGTCCTTGAAGTCAAAACGGGAGCATACTCCAGAGAAGTGTCCCATGTGCCATTGATAATGTACCGGACCGCTCCAGATCGGTCAGTTACAGCCCCCGTGACCTGTGGCAAGCAAAATAGAAGATCTTGGGAAGTACAATCAATCGAAGACTGGCTATGAGCTTTTGAGAGTGGAACGAGCGTGTTAGGCGCGTCCGGTCAAGGAAAAGCGAGCTTTACGAAAGAAGTGATCATCCTTGGGGGGATACACCACGAGTTCGAAGGGTATTCGTCTTATCTAAATGCAGTTAGCCGTCCAAAACAAGTCCGTTCTGTGCAAACAGGACATATCATAGTATACACTCGATTCGGATCTTACGCGTTTCCAAAGCATCCTTGCGTGAGACGCGATTTAAATCACGAGCGTACGCGTGTGTAACCTCGCGTTACTGGCCTGTCCAGAGCTGGTATGAAAGGCTGCCAATGCGATTGGGCAGTGCCACTAAGTAAAAAGTCTATTGCTCGAAGCGCTTTTTCAATTAGCGGTGTTGACGCTGAACCGCGCGAACGCCCCTCGCTTCAGTTATGACTTGTTAGAAATTGTTTGATAGTTTACGCTCTGAAGGATTGGTGGATCGGCAATGTGGAGACGTTTCACCAGTCTTAGTAATTATTGGCGGCGACACCTTGGGAGTATTGTTTTCCGACTGACAAGTGTCCTCTATAAAAAAAACACAAATGTCTGCTTAAAAACCATGTGACATGACGAATGTGACGCCACTAACTAACGTCACTGCTTCTTACGTATCCGGATGATCCAATACGAAGATTTCCTTTCACTTCATCTCAAGCTGACAGCCCGACCGAAAACAATCACAACTACGGTGTCACATTTATAAATCCAAGCGACACAGCCACACACACATTCTTACCTACATACATTCATGTAAACCTATAACATAGTTACAAACACTGCTGATAAACTTGCATCGTTATTCACATTTACTGTCCTTAATGTTTGCATCACCTTGATCATGCTTATACAAGCGGGTCTCGCATTGTCGAGCATAAAGCATCTATTTAATTATTTACCATTTCGATGGCGATGCACTCGCAGGTTTGGTTACTTAATCAAAGTGGAAAACGTCACAAGATCCGTGAGTCCCTACGGTCACGTGACTGCCACTTCAGAATTAAGCGATCTCTGCAAATCGAGAGTGAGCAGCCATTTCAGTGGTTTTTAGAGGTACTAAATTAGTTTCTAACGGTAGTCTACACACATGAGTACTAAATTATAATACAAAGCGCTGGTTGATAGGTGATCAGATAAAGCACGATCTACGAACCCAATTGAGCACAACAACAAAACAGCCACCGGGGAATGCACTAAAATAGTTACACCGCATAAGGATCACTGAGTTAGCAAGTAGTGCTTTCGTGGTAGTCCGAACAGGTCTTTGTATGGACGTACCGGACAACGTGATAAACATCAACTGTTCCGGTGCGTTTACTGTCTAGTACAAACAACAACACTTCAAATTCGTCAGTGATTATTGGTATCACTTTCACTATTAAAACAACCCTATGGATACACTGTGCAACAGTCGTATTGCTGCCCACCCTCACGTAACCTTGGTGCAAACCAGTGTTCCGAGTGCAGGGCATGTACCCCCATAGTGTTCAAAAGCACCAAACTCGAGTAAATAAAATGTAAGGAGGCGAAGATCATGATCAATTAAACCATACCTTTCCAATTCAGTCCAGTTAATCTGTTATATCAGTGAATTCAAGTGCGTTGGATTTAGTTGCCTCGAGTGATGCTTTACTACTACTACTACTAATAATAATAATAAATGTGAATAAAAAATAATGGTAATTTAAATGGATTGAAAGAAAAACAAGTCGTTCGATGTAGCTAACGGCCAAAAATGCACGATCGCCACTGGACTCGCAAATATGGCACAGTCAGTGGACCGATCTTGAAGCCTCCGTCTAACAAGATGGTGTAATTCAACACGACTCCATCGACCTGCCAGCTTCATGCTCATCCGACAAGTCAACGCCTAACCACCGTGAGACTGTTCAACTGGATACCGAACGGCAAACACATCGGAGCAGCTAGCCAAAAGTCATGTGAACAGGGTGACCGGTCCAGCGCAGATGGCTCCAATTGGAGACCACAGTGGTGCACGAAATGGTCTGTGGCCAAAAACAAAATGAAAAAGTTGGCTTGTCGAACTTCTTCAGAGCGACAGCTAGGTCGTTCACGATAATCTCGGCCTTGCAAATGGTTCGGCGGTGGTGTTCTAAGTGATATCATTAGATATACCGCCAAGTATGTTGACAGCACTACGGTGGTGCATGTGAGTGGTCAATTTTCCTTGAACCTCGCCAGTAGAGCGTTAAATTCTAGCAGACGTAAGCTAACATTCCTGCCCAGTGACAAGCCATAATAAACGGAGAAACTGATCACCGACTCCCAATGGATGCGACTCCCTGACCTCATTCCACTGCTTTGCGCGTAAACTGTCAGGCAAAGAGATCTGGGTGGAGTACCCTTAATAACTCCCTACTTCGACCTTGGTAATAAAGTGGTCGCACGGCTCCTGAACAGTCATCGACTCGATTACGTTGAGCTTTGCTGTTTCTTTGCACGTAATCAAGTGAAGCAAAGATTCGAGTGGCTTGTTTTATCATGAACAACCTTGTTGTGCAATGAATCATTTGTCCCTGAAAAACTGTTTTCTGATAATGGCGTATTCGTTGTATGTACATACGCATCCTGTTTAATGGATCCAGTTGCCAAGACTCATGTCGTCAAGATAACAACAGATAACACCGACGACGTGAGATGGAACGCAAACATGGTGCAAAGCGAGTAGAGGAAGAGTTGAGCGAAATCAATTAGTAATGAAGATTAACAGCGGTATGCAAAAAAGCGAATACAGGAGCGCCACTGACTGCACCATTTCTGACAAGGCCTCCGATCACTGATGTGGCCCAACCCTAAGTCCTCATCCACCAAGACAGCATATATTGTGATGGTAGAATTTCAACTGCCGCTGGAGGCTACAAGAAGCAAATAAGGTGGGCCAGAAAGGATGCACTGGGAACAAACAGAAATGAAATATTTTAGTATCAGCAGTGTTCTGCTTTCGCTGTATCTAACAGAAGGAGTGGCTCTATTGAAACTAAATGGCGATCGATGCAGGATAGAGTGCAGTTTCGATGTGGTTGCCGCGGTTATGTACGGGATGAGGTTCCAAAACGCCCAAACGAATACAGGAGAACGAGTAGAGTATACGTCAAAGAATTAGCCTAAGAACCTGACATATAGACAGGAATTAATAATCAGTCATTAGATGAGACATTTTCACAATAATGGTGTGAGAGTTTAAACTTCAACAACGTGAAACATTGAAAAACCGAGTTGGTTGACATACTCCCGTTGTTCAATTTAGGCGGAGTAAATGGTAAGGAATGTGGCAAAATCGCCCGGAACCTGTGCGTCGAAGATCAGGTCCGAAGATGGAAGTGATGCGTTAAGTGCAAGCAGGCAAAGTATCTTGTTACTGATAAAACGCAGTATTATCGTGCACTGTTCTATAGAAAATTATTCAATTTGATATACAGTAAGGTTGCTTTGTGCACGGGATGACGTGTTACAATTAAATTTCTAATGACGGAGGGCATTACACAGTTGTCATTTAAAAGAGACTTCAGTCACACTAAGGTGATACGACACGCAAATAAAATAAGGTTTGAATGGCGCAAATGCTTCAGAGATGGTCGTACTTCTGTCACTGACGTTCCAGGTGGAGGTAGCTCCCAGGCCATAGTTGTCATCCCTGGGAACATTTAGCGAGTAAAACAGCTTATCAGTGACAATCACTGCATAACTCGTTGAGGAACGAAAAACGCATTACATTTCATCGAAAGTGATTATATATATATATATATATATATATATATATATATATATATATATATAGTCGATTCCGGTTAATAGGACCAGCCGCTTATTCGGGCCAAATTCTGAAGAACCGAAACGAATCCTATTACGCTAGCCTAATTTTAGCCGCTTATTAGGACAGGAATTCCGCTTAATCGGACCAGACGATAGAAGGTGGCAGGTAACAGAGGTGTTAAAATCAAGTTCTGTTCCTGGATGTCTGGACTAAACCCACAGTTCATATGTCGGGCAAGAAAGCGTATCATTCATTTACGGTAATCCGAGTTGGCCTTTGGATAAACTGAACTGTGGCAACCTTGAGGCACATCTATCCAATTGGCTTCAGAACCGCCCGAAACTGACTGTAGTTTCCAACACTTGTAGGCGGAGCGAAGACATACATGCTTGTTCACATGTCGTTAACCGCTCGATCGATGTACTGCACGTCCATTGAGCCGAATGCCCTGAGCTCGCATTGCGGACCTACTCTCGAGCACGGCAAGTGATCGCGGACACACAGGTCCGGCAAATCATAGGACAGCAGGTGGCTAGGTCAACCATAGAAATACCCGGGAGACAGACTCGAGTTCACCTCAGTGAACTGTGCGTGTCTTGTTGCATGTTAATAAAAAGGCCACGACGGGACTTGACGTTAGCTGAGAAGATTCGTTTCCCAGATCAGATCAAGGAACAGGGACCAACCACTAGTCAGCGTCGATTGGTGGAAATTACCTGCTTGGCAAAATCTACAATATCGCGCCTGATAAAACAAGAGAAAGATCTGCGAGAAGAATGGGCACAATGTGAAGGACGACGAGGTACTTCCCAAAAACGGAAGCGTGAAGGCAAGGATCCAGACGTCGATGAGGCCCTTAATGATTGGTTTGCCTTTGTTACCGGACGAGCCGTGCGAGTAAGTGGTCCAATGTTAAAGTACAAAGCAGAAGAGCTCGCTAAAATGCTGGGCCACGAAGATTTTATAGCTACGGACGGCTGGTTGTCTCGATGGAAATTTAGACATGATGTAAAATTTAAGAAAGCACATGGTGAGAAAGAAAGTGCCAATAGCGCTCGAGCTGAAGAATGGAAATCAACAAAACTACCAGAGCTCCTTGAAAAATTTTCCAGCAGATGACATCTATAATGCTGATGAAACCGGGTTGTACTATAGGGCTACACCGGACGGCTCCTTAAGTTACAAACATGTTACTCTCTCTGGCTGAAAAAAAGCAATGGATCGCGTAACTGCCTTGTGATGCTCAAACATGTCCGGAACAGACAAGAGGAAGTTGCTGGTTATAGGAAAATGTGCCAAACCTCGCTGCTTTAAAGGACTGAGAATGGACAGTTTACCAGTTGTGTATCGTGCGAACAGAAATGCATGGATGAGCTCTACACTTTTTAAAGAATGGGTGAAGGATTTGGACACAGAGCTACAACGCCAGTCGAGAAAAGTGTTATTACTTCTCGACAATTGTGCAGCACATTCAAATTTGGATTTCTTGAAGAATATCCAGATGGAATTTCTGCCTCCCAAGACCACATGTTTGATACAGGCAATGGACATGGGCATCATAAAAAATTTGAAGACCTTTTATCGTTCAAGGTTGGTGAGTTACATCTTTGAATCAATTGAGGAAGGCTTGCTGACCTCATCCTCGAGAAATCAGTGCAAAGGTCAACATTTTGCAAGCCGTTACATTCGTGACCGAAAGTTGGCGAAAAATGAGCAGTGCGACAATTCGGAACTGTTTTTCTCCCTGTGGCTTTAAGCATATTGTCTCGGAGATGGATGTGGATATGGTGATTGTAAATGAAAATGACGGCGAGAATGTGGAGCTGAAACAAGTTGAAAATTACGAAGAATTTTTGTCAATCGACAACGAACTTCAACTCTATGATGGAAATGAAGAATGCGATGCTGCCATTGTTGCTCGAATAGCAGCGAAACACACAACAGCAACAGAAGACCATGGAACTGATGAAGAGAACCCTAACGTGTTGATGTCAGTCACAAAAGAGGATGCAAGGAAATGCATTGAAACATTGCACCGCTATTTCATGCAGGAAGGAAATGAAGGTAGTCCTATTACTGCGTTACATGTTTGTGGTGATTTTGTGCGAATGCAGTCTGTTAAAAGAATGCGTCAAACCACACTGGATAGGGTCTTCAAACGCTGAATGGAATTCGGTAATCCCTTTGTATAAAACTGTACTTCGCATGCTGAATATCTTGTAGGTCGTTACGAAGAATTTGTTTGTAAATTTCTTTTTCAGTGAACAAAGTTCGTTATCAAAGCAGTTCTTTTTTGTGTGTTTGCTATAAATATATGTCGCCAATACAGGTCATAATAGTAGTTTCCTATGTATAGCACGTCCCATCTTGTTACATCGGGTAACTTCGGTTAATCGGACCAGCCGCTTAATAGGACCAAAATGGTCTGGTCCCGATGTGGTCCGATTAACCGGAATCGACTGTATATATAATAATCTGCAGATATCGATAAAAGCCATGAAGATCAAAGAGAAACACAGCAAAAAATGAACGAAATGCGCTATGCCTGTTTTTCACAAAACGATTTTCTCTTTTTTCATGATTTAGCGATTCAACATATAGATTGAGACGATTCCGCGTACAATTCTTCTATTGATCCCGGTCGCCAGACATGTCTTCAAGCGTGTCAATCTACTGGTACTCCTCATCCAGGAGGACGTAAGGGTCCAACAGTGGTTAGACCTGATGTCAGCGATTTAGTGTGCTGTCGCCAAATGGTAGGCTAACCACCAAGTGGTCGCTTCCAGTCCGGTCCAGAACTACCGAATAGAGTGCGGCGAACAATCAGGCCCCATGCGTAGAATGTGATCGAGCCATCTCAATTGATGCAGCAAAACCAGCTTGTTGAAGGAAACAGTCGCATGCTCCAGGAGGTGATGTATAACATCACCATTGTGAACTCGGTGTTGCCACCACATACGAGTGTCTTCATCAAACAAATGTTGTCGAAGGCGTAAAGATGGCGCAAGTCCTCCACGCGAAATGGCGAGGGGTCGCCCCCATCCAATAACACTGAACGAACGAAAGAACTGTAACGCGATCCTTTACCGAGGCGAAGGCATTCCGTTGACGCCACAACTGCCTCAGATTGACAAGTGCCGACCAGGTGTTAGCGGTGCAGACAGAAGCCTTCCTTCCGATAGAGACACCAGCAGCAGCACAGGTCCCAGGATAGAGGAAAGTATCTACCTT